GTATTCTTCTTGGCTTGTTCTTGAGCTTCTGTTAACTTGTCCATAAGCTCAAAAGCTCGGGTCAAGATACTATCTTCTAAGTCTATTTCTGTTTCTGTTTCGGTAGTAGGAAAAATTAACTCTATTGGCAGGATAGCTTGTCTTCCATATACCAACTGAAATGGAGTATATCCTGTAGTAGCATGCTTCTTAGTCCGGTAGGCAAATAATACTGCATGCAAATTAAGGTCCCAGTCTTTCTTAGTCCCTACTTTTGCTAGTGATTCACACAAAGTTCTATTTAGTCTTTTTACTATACCATTAGTTTGAGGATAATATGGTGATGAAAACTTATGTCGCATAAGAAAGTTTTTACATAAAACTTTTATTACATCTCCTCTAAAATTTGATCCTTAGTTAGAGAGAATAATCTTGGGTATTTCATGGCGACATACAATTTCTTCAAAGATAAACTTTGCAAAAGTTAAAGCTCCTGCATCTAGTACAGCTTGGGCTTCTGGCCAATGGGTCAAATAATCTGTTGCAACAATAATGTACCAATTGTTGTAAGATGTTATTAGTAGAGGTCCTACTAAATCAATTTCAATTCTTTCAAAAGCTTGTCCTATTTTAATAGGATGTAATGGTTCTTTTCTTCTAGATATGCTTCTTTTCTGACATTGTTCACAGGTCTTTATATATTCCTTAATGTCTCTATACATCTGGTCTCAATAATATCTTTTCGCAATTTTATGATACATAGCATCTATTCTCAAATGTTCAGCAGTAGGATGACTATGCATCATATATAAGATAGGGTCTACTTCAGTCCATTTAATAATTCTAAATGGTTTAGCAAAGTCTCATTTGTTTTTCTTATACAAAAGTTCGTCTTTAATCATAAGGTATTTGGCCTAATTTTGAAGTTGCTTCTGTTGATAAGTAGTAAAGTTAGAGGATATATTATCAGAGTTAAATAATTAAATAGATTTTGGTATTGATCTAAATTCATTATTTAAATTTTAGTTAATCAGAGTCTTGAGAGAGCATCCATATTAGAGTGAATTCTACCTGGTTTGTGCATAATAGTAAAGTTGTAAGGTTGTAGTTTCAAAATCCAGCGTCTAATTCTTCTTTTTGGTTCAACAGTTTTAAGCTATTTTAATACAAGGTGGTCAGTTATAAGAGTAAATTCAATAGCTCTAAGATAGCTATGAAAATGTTCAATAGCTCATACAATGGCAGCACATTCTAGTTCCATTGCAAAGTAATTTTGTTCTGCTGATACTAGACTTTTACTAGCATAAGCAATAGGATGTTTTTTTTCTTCTCTATCTTTTTGACTTAGAGTAGCTCCAAAGCCATAATAAGAAGCATAGGTAGCAAGAATAAACCTTTTGCAAAAATTAGAGTAAGCTAATATAGTTAGCTTTTCTTTAAGAATATCAAAGGCTTGCTGCTGTTTGCTTCCCCAATTATAGGATTCATCTTTGTAGAGAAGTTGGTTCAGAGGTTGAGTTATAACAGAGAAATTTTGGATAAATTGTCGATAATATCCAACTAAACCAAGAAAAGATCGTAGCTTGGTAGTGTTCTTTGAAGGTTAAATCTTCTATACAGTTTCAATTTTTGAAAGGTTAGAGGCTATTCCTTTAGAGCTGATGATATAATCAAGAAAAGGTAAAGACTTCATTCAAAAGTTACACTTTTTAAGGTTGAGCTTTAATCCAGCATCTCTTATCTGTTAAAACACAATTCTTAGATGTTTCAAGTGATCCTCAAATGTTCTGAAGTATACATTAGTATTATCAAGATACACAACTACGAATTTCCAAGCAATTTCTTTATATACTTGGTTCATGAGTTATTAAAAAGTAGTAGGGGCATTACATAGTCCAAATTGCATTATATTGAACTCATACATTCTATATTTTGTGATAAAAGCAGTCTTCTCTTTATCTTTAGAGTCCATTATGACTTGCCAGTACCCACTAGCTAAGTCTAAAGTCGAAAACTATTGAGATCCTGAAAGAGCATTTAACATTTCTTGAATTCAGGGTAGAGGGTAAGCATCCTTTTTAGTAATACTGTTAAGTTTTCTGTAATCAACACAGAATCTTAACTTTCTATTCTTCTTTCATACCAAAATAATAGATGATGCCTAAGGGCTTTCTGAGGCTTAAATGATATTGCTATCTATCATTCATTCAATTTCTTGCTTAATAAATTCTTGTTCATCAGGAGGTACATTGTAAGGTCGTAACTTGATAGGTGGCGCATCTTCTGTATAGATTTTATGTTTAACTTTATCTGTTCTACCAAGTTCAATAATATCTTTAGCAAATAGGTCAGCAAATTCTTCTTGTAGGGCTTTAAATTGTTGTCCTTGATTACACAAAAGGGGTCCTATATTTACAGTGTCTGTTTTTTCTAAAATATATTCCTTGTAATGAATTAAAGTATTTATAGTATATATGAAGTTATGTTTAAGAGCATTAGCTTGCAAAGCCTGTTGCAAAGCTTCTGTTTCTGTTGATAACTCTTCTAGGTCTTCTAAGTCTTCTAAATCTTCAGGTAGTTTTTCATCTTGTCTAGGATAGCTCAAAAATTTTGCAGTGTAAAGGCTATATGAGCATAATAATCAGCTCATTCCTGATAGTATTGATGAAAAAATTCTATCATCTTTTCAAAATTTTCCTCTAAGTATTGACTTTGGCTTCTAGTTGATTAATAATCTGGTCTTTTTCTTCATCCTTCCTTTCCTCAAAGATAGTGTCCTTACTTATCTCAGGCTGTTCTAAGGTGATTATATCATCATAGTGTATTTCTTCTATATTCTGCTCTTCTAAAAGATTTGGCTTGTTCTGTTCTTAATAGCATTTATCACAAAGTCCTTGGTTCATTTCTAATTCAGTACATTGTTTAGCAAAGAGGCATTCTTGACAAAGAGCTACTTTTCCTTCAAAATTCTTTCTTAGATTCTCAATTGCTTTGTGAGTATCAAAGTTAGGTTGAGAAGTATTGAAAGATTTATTTAAAATTCGTTGTAAGATCACTTCTTCTTCTTTTGTGAGAGATATTTGTTCTGCTCGAAACAGAATAGTAATTTCCTCAGAGTTCCATTCTCGGTTATATCTATCATCTTCTTGCTCTTTCATGGCTTCTTCTATAGTTCTATAATCTTCAGCAAGCAAAACTTGCACTAAACGATAAATTTGGTCTTGGTTTAAATCATACTAATGTCTAACATTCCTGGTAGACTCAGTATAATGCCTAATTCTATTCCAAATTTCATAATTTGGATTATATTGGAGGTCTGTAAAGATTTTATAAGCATATATATGTTCTAATTTTTAGAACTATAATTCTTCTCGTATGCTTTCTATATTATATATTCTTGATCTGGGTTTTTGAATATTACAAAGTCTATAGTGGACAAGGGTTCCTCTACCCAGTTCTGTTTGATAATATTCTTAGCTTCTGGGGTCTTCTGGGTCAAGAGCTTCATAATAAGTCTTGTAGCAAGCAGTACAAGCAAGTTTCTCTTCTAATTTATAAAGCTTGTCTGGCTGTTGAGAAGTGTAGCAATAACAACAATGGTGGGTTCTTCTTTTACTATAGTAGGCTATTCTTGTTCTTCTACTTGATCTTTGTCACATCCACATTTAAAAGTAAGATTATCAAGTTTGAGTTGGGCAAGAGGATAGTTAATTTCAATATAACCAAATTCATTACAACTATAGCATTAGTTGTCTGGATAATCTTTAAAAAGATGAGTAGTTTGTCTACAAGTTTGACAACTATTTGATCTTTCATATTTATTAGAGCAGTTAATAAGCACATGCCCAAATTGATTACAATAGTAGCATTGATTTCTGGAGCAGTCTTTGTATTGGTGGGTAGCTTGGTCACAGGTCTTGCATAGGAGTTTTCTTTGTCGAGGTTGGTAGGTAGTTTATCCTTGGTTTTTATCTTCTGAGGATGCAGAAAATACATAGGCTTCATGAGGTGTTAAGTATTCCTGCTCATATAATTTAAAGTCTTCTGGCTTAATACAAGTTGGCTTCTTTTCTTTTGGCTATTCTTGCTCATAAGAAGTATCAAGAACAATTTCCTTTCCTTTTCAATATAAAGTATATTGGCAAGTTTTTCAGTTATAATTAACTTCTACTTTCTTAGACCAATCATTTTCAAGTAAGATAGAATATGAAATAGCAGGCACTACTTCAACATCTAAGGGAATTAGTCGACCTTAGATTTTAATAGGCAAATTTCTGATAATTTCCAGAGGTCTAGAAATAGCTCCAGTAGCAGCCACAATAAGACTCTTAGATGGCTCTTCAATTTTTAGTCCAAGTTCTTTTACAGTCTGGTGTGAGATCATACTGACAGAGGCTCCACTGTTAATAAAAGCAGGTTAGATATGATTCTGAATATCGATATAACATTTAACAGAAGTAATAGTACTAATAGGCTAGAGTTTGGTATTTTCCCGGTTGGTTTCAGTAATGTAGGTAGTAAGAGCAGTTCTAATAGAGTAGTTGTCTAACAATCTTTCCAATTGTTAGAATTAAAGGCAGGTTGCTTTTTAGCCATATTAATATTTCGATAGTAGGGGAATAGTGAACGATTAGACCTAGGTTTCTATCTTTCTTGACTTCTTTTTCTGGATCTGTCTCTGTAATTTCTGTCATAAGATTGACTTTGGTCTCTATAATTTCTATCTCGAGATTGGCTTCTTTCTCTGTTTCTCCTATTGTCATTATAGCGGTTGTTGCTTCTTCTATTATTGCTATTATTTCTTTTTCCATTATACCTATTTCTTTGGTTATCATTTCTTCTTTTTTTATAGTTAGCAATAAAATGTTCTAGATTACCACAGTAATAACAAATGGCTTTATCTTGGTTAGAGTTGTATTGACGAGAAGAACTAGACTCTCTTTCAGCTATATATGCAGGCTTGGGTTGTGGTTCTGGTTGTTGCTGAACTATATTAATAGCTAATTTGTCAAAATGGCTAATAAGATTATGAATAGCATCCATTACTAGATCTCCTAGTAAGGCCATTAATCTTCTAGTTTTTCATTGTTTAGCAGCAGCAATTGTATCATTTAAATTTTTTGGAGTTGATGCTTGAACAGAAATTGCATATTCTGATTGCAATCCTTTGATAAAAAGTTGAACAATGAAGGAATTAGGGAAGGCATGGTCTAGATCTGGATTTACTTTCTTTTTCAGTTTCTTAAACTGAGCAGCATAGGTATCTACAGTATTAGCTCCTTGTTTTAGGTCAAAAATTCTTGTTGCCAGACAGCTAATTTCTTGGGAGTTGTGAATTCCTTTAAAAACAATACTTTAAACTTGTTGGCATCATCATGGTCATTATTATTATATGTCTCAATTACATTATCAGCTAGGCCTTTTAGCCATTCTTCTGCATTATCTTGCATGTAGGCTTTAACAATAGCAAGTTTTCTTTTATCACTCCAATTATTAACAGTAGTAGCTCATTCAAATTCATTAATCCAATCAACAGGGTTTTCAGTACCATCTCCTTTAAATGACTTAATTTTGATATGAGATTTTTCTCCTCCTCCTCTTCTAGAAATAGCTTTAGCCAATCGAGTTATGGTAGTTGCAGCAGTTTATAAATTAGCCATATTTTCTTCTTTATTAGTATCTGAACTATCTAATTCATATAGAGGTGGTAAATTAGTTTGTTCAGGAAGGGAGTTTTGTTTTAATATATCCCTTGATTATGTTTGGTTAAAATTTGTTTCTTCTTGGTTATGGTGGATAGGACTAATTGTTATTCTAGAAAGTTGTGGATAGATTAGAGAATAGATTGGAGAATAAGTTGAGGATGAACTAGAAATTTCTAGATAAAGGCGATTTGAGCATGGACTAGCTATTTTAATATTAGAATAGATAGGCTAATAGTCTTGGTCTAATGAAGTTGTAGAGGTAATAACTTCTTCTTCTGCAGTATGTACTAATGCAGTTTCAGCTATTCTTGGAGTTTCTGTAATTACAGAATAAATATCGTTCTAGTATGTTTCTGAAATAGATGAGGATGCAGTTCAATAAGGACTATAAGATACCAAAGTTTTATAAACCCTTTGGATAAATTTAGGTGAAGAAGTAGATGATAAGGAGGCTTCTTCTAGATTAACACTTTGAATATCAGGTGGGGTTAAAGATTCTTCACTTCTTTCTAATTGAGTAGTTTGAGTAGAAGTTGTAGTAAAAGTAGATGCAATAACAGGTATTTCTATCCTAATAATAGTATTAGGAGAAGATGGTAATAAAATAGGTGTAGTGGTTCCTTCTGTTGTTTGTTCTTCTTCATCTGAGTATAATGATTGAAGATAAGACTGAGCAGCAGTAGAGTTGTCAATAAAAATATTGTAGTAGTTAATATAGACACTCGAAGCTTTATGAAGGCTATGAAAAGAGTTGTGTTTTCGTAAAATAAGTTGAGCAGTTGATCGAGGATTAGGTACAGTTTTTCTATATTGGCAGCTAAAAATAATATTTTGAATAGCTAAATGGGCTTTAGCTCGATCAGTAGTAACTAGCTGATAAAAACTAGAACTAATAGCTTAACTATAGGTAGTAGCATTATCCCTTAAACCGTATATTTTAGCGTACAAATTTGTATGATAAAATCGGTATAAATAAGGTAAAATCAAAAAAAAAAATTTTAATGTATAAAACTTTACTTAAATTGGCTAAAATAACACCCAAGAACCCTGGTCACATGATACGCTCCAAAAAACAAGTTGGCGCAACTACATGACATGGAAAAAAAGACACATGTTCGTGCTATAGTCAATAAAGTATATAATTTTGCCTGAACTTTTGGAGGCCATCCTAATTAATCCAGTTTATATAACGTATATTTAAATAACTGTGACATTAAGAGCCACCCTTGTATTTAATAATCCATAATATAAGAGAGGTCATAAGGACTTCTATTTTGTGAAATAATCAATTTATTAATTATATCAGGCACAATCACGAGTGATTTTATTAAAATACTAAAAAATTGCAAAGCATGTAATAAAACAATGCGCAATAACTGTAAACTGGCCTTTATTTATTTATTATTTTTATGGAATTCCAGAAAACAATTCTGGATTTTATTGCAACAGAGCAGTACATCACACAAGACGCACCAAAAACTACTTCGATTTGGAGATTTGTGACTCATGTCCTTTTTTTTAGTTCGCTATCCAAGAGCACCACATACACGCTTTACGCTTTTCTCTATATTCAACAAGGTGATCTCCTGGCATCAACTTCTCATCGAATAGTTCAAAATGTTTCGTTACTTTTTGCCAGTTTGTTTTTTTAGATCTAGTTTTTTTTTTTCGTTATTTCTTAGTTGAATTTCACTATTATCATTAGCAAAATTTAGGAGGTCCCAAACAAGACTGCAGCAGAATTCTTTGTATTCTTGAATTGACCCTATAGTTTTAGCAATCAGGTAGACGTTGATAATTGCAGTATCAAGGAGCCAAAAAAAAAGAGGCATCCAGTTTCTTCGTGATATTTTTTGCGTATTGTAATATGACCGCAATTGGTCTGCAAGATCCACGCTGTTCATGTAGTGATTGTAATCGTCAACAATCTTGAAAATTTTCAGTCTTTTTTTTGACTCGGAGCCAAACATCTCACGTACCTTATCCAATATTGTCCATACATAGTTAGTGGTGTGTCGAAATGTTATGAATTAAAAAATACTAACCTTAGCCGCATTGGTACTGGTTTGCCTTGGTCGTCGCCTTTCCTGTATTACTTCCCATTCTTCACCAACAAGACCATGTATCGTTGATAACATCGTAACAGGGCCATTATCCTGCCAAAAAAAGCTAATACACCATTAATAATAACACCAGAACGAATGTCCCAATCGAGTTTAGTATTTTTTTCCACTTTCAATTCTTTTGGGAATCTGGAGGCATTCCTTCGAACGGTCCCACAGGCACCAATATTATTCTGACGAAGATGCTGGAAAAGAGAAACACTGCTAAAATAATTGTCTATATATATATTGTATAGAAATCGTTGGTGGGAAGTTGCTCGATGAGGTGGAAAAGAGAGATCCAGTTTGGCTAAGATCGTTTGTTTTATTAATATCACTTGGAACAACACGTGACATTGGTAGAAAAGTGTACATGTATTCTGCGTTACAAAGCGATAGGATCTTGAACCCCTCAGGGGTTGGCTTGTTCTTTATCCAAACTGTATGAATGCTCCTGCCAGAAAATTGTATCATCATTTCGTCGACCGAGACGTTTGAACTGAGTACATAAAGACGCTTCGAAGTATCTCAAATATGCGAGAGCAACGGCTCTAATTTTTTAAAGTAATTATTAATCGTTGTTGCAGGAGGGGATATGTGAAAAAACCTTTTAATTTGTTCAAAACGTATCAAGGGCATTTGCTTTGAGACTTGGTGAACGGGAAACTTTGGATTCTCGTTCCAGAATTGTTCAAGAGAAGGGGACTTAAAAAGTCCTTGATAAATAATCAATGCGATCCAGATTATGAGCTCTTTGCGGATTAGGTTTTGCCACTGTCTACCATTATTCCTGGTATTTTTTGGTTAATACATACAGGTTCGTATTGGTTACTACAATGTCTAATATGGATGTTGTAATAAAAAAAAGAAAAATATCAATTGGCTTAAAAGAGTCAACATCAAGGTAAAACAGCAACTGGGTGGTAGATGCCTGACGCAGTGGTTTCGAATGAATATATAGCTCAAAATTGCTTGGTGGTGGTGGCAGCCTTTGTTGAACAATTTTTGTCGGAGTTCTCTTTCTCTTACAACTACTTTTAGTGTTTATTTTTGTAGTCTCATTTTCATCGTTGTCATTTTCGTCAGGTTCAGAATCCAGATTGTCCAAAGAAGGCTGGTGAAAGGTCAAAACTGGTATGTATTCTTCTTCACTGTCTTTCTGTAATTCCGGTGGGGCCGAACTCGAAATCAACGCACTTGAACTACTCGAACTCGAACCAACTTCAGGAGATATTTGTTTTTTATTTTTCATGTTTTATTTTATTTTTTTTTTTTTATTTTTTTTTTTTTTTAAGTCTGTGAGTTTTTTTTTTTTAAGTCCACAAGTTTTTTTTTGTATTTTATCGCTCAATAAGCTGTTTCAGTTGTTTCACATTAGCTTAATATGAGTATGTTTTTTTTTTTTGTTTTATTTCTTGTCACTAATTATTTATTTTAAAGCAGCAAAAATTCATTTAGCGAGTAAAGAGAAATTGATTGATTATCATGTTACTCAATACACAATCTAAACCGTTACTCAATACACAATCTAAACCAAAGTAGAAGATACTGTAAATCACGTGATGATCAACATACATCATGCTTCGATTCTAGCTTAGGAACTAGGTGGTAAAGGCATAATAAAATAAGGCGCAGTAGATCGTTAAAAATTTTAGCATACAAATTTGTACGCTATACAGTTTAAAGGTAGGGTGAATGTAGATCATTTTCTATATAAGGATATTGACTAAAAAAATTTTACCCAAAAATTGAACATACATTATATATAAAAGTTTTTAAAAAGCTGATTTTTTTTTGTAAAATTTTTACAATATATACATTAGAATTTGAACCTTTGTTATATTCGAAAAAAATATACTTACATATATCGTTAATTCTTCCTAACTTAATCGAAATT